ATGTGGGGTGCTTTGAAGGCATCCGGAGAAACACGGATTTCGACAATTCAATGTTGACTTTTTGTAGTTTTCCATAAGGAAATCGCAAACCAACATCATCAAAATCTTCCAACATGAATATTCCAGTTCCTGTTTGATTCTGCTGACTGAAAATATTTCAAATATACTTTAGTTGCAAATATCCTTTGCGGAACAAAAAGATCGCTTTCAATGTTTCAAACTCCGTCCCGTGCACGCCCAGTGCTCAATGCTAGGAGCAAACACGTCTACCTAGAGGGCGAGTTGGAACGCGGCGTTGTGCCCGAGGATTCCACATGGACATTTCTTCAAGGGAATGGGGAAGATGGATGCTTGATTGTCCTGCGGAAGATGAACTTGGAGCTTTACGTCAAGTGAGAATTGCAGCCATGAGTTTGAATCTTACATTTTCGTCATGCACAGGTATTTTGAAACGATGTTATTTAACAGCGACGACCATCTGTTCAATAAATTAGAATGTTGATGCAGCATCTCAGGAAAGGATGCCCCCGAGGTCCTTGGATTTTGCATCAGCTTTCTAGTTCCTTTCTCAACTTAAAACGCAGGGCATGAGCAAAAATGGTCGATGTACTATACAACTTGAAGCACGGGTAACATCTACATTCAATGTGCAAACGTTTGTGTCACGCTTCCAAGAACAGTGCTGGTGCTTGACTCACCGCTAAGCACGATTCCATGGAAATCCAGAGTTCCACGTACACGTGCAAGATGGTCCGCATTGCAGAACTGCGTGACAAAGTTTCTGTGCTCTTTTGAAGTACTTCTCCTTTGGCTACAATCTATTCAATCAATCTTTCGAGAATCTGTATTGGTGTCACCGTCTCTGATGGCCACTGTGCACCTGTCTTCACTTCAAGATTGTGCACATCCGTCAATGTTTGATGGCTTTTCAATGCATTTCCTTATGTACATAGCGTTTGCCAATTATGATTCGTTTGCTTGGAGCCCGAGCAAACATTCTTCCGTCTCTCAGACTTTCAGCTTCGTTTTGACACCAATCGCAAATGTGTTTTGATGTACGCAGCCCCCACAAACACTCCGAGATGTGGTGGTCACGGTTGTTCAAGACCCATAGCAGCATTGAGTGGGATGACTACGAGAAAGACTACAGTGACCTTCCCGCCGATATACTGGAGCCACATCACAAGCACCAAGTGCTGGAGGATGCAAGGACAACTGCGGAGTCGTGCGAAAAGCAAAAGAGAGAGGCCCTTCAGGTGCCATGCGTATGTGGCTGCACACACCTGCCTGAGAGGTTGAATCTTGGGATGACTATTCGTAGTAAAACCCATCACACTCTCGCTTCAATCGCCTGTTGCAATCACATAATAGCTGTCAAGGGAGGTAATGGTGGCGAGGGTCACCCAATTGTTTTGCTTCGTGCCGCGCAGTACCTCAGGAACGATTTACTAGACGCTGCATGTCACTCACAAATACACAGTATTATTGCAGTGCGTGGGATATGGTGTACACGCTGCAATGCTACATACTACGTTCAGTGATTAAACCACAGCCAAAGTACCCTTATTTACCTGCTCCGAGCGAGGCATGATATTTCGCCTTGGAGAAGCTTCTGAATGAAATCTTTTTGGTTGCTGTTACCCTGAAATAGTCAATGACTAGTGGTCGTGTGGCCATCGGGTACTATCCTTGCGGCGAATGCGGTGAACCGCTGGCACGCTGCTGTCTCCCTTGCACAAGGTGTTGTCACGATTTTCATGAATGCATTCAGGGTTCGAGAACAACATATCCAGCTTAAGATCACCAACGCAATGGTCGCACGCATCACAATTGTGTCACTACTGAACACTTAACATTGCCATGTTTCCACCTGCCAATCTTGCGAACACCTGCGCAAGTAGATGTTTGCGGTCGAATGGTGCAGGGAGATGGTGTCTGAGATGAGCGGCAAACGCCACACGGCAAGTGCCCATCGCACCATTGGGGATAAATCAATTTGAATTTATTATAAAATTTAATAGATTTAATAATTTAATACATAATTTAATAATCAATTTACATTGAACATTTTGCGCAACTGCACTCGAAGGAGAGAGTAATGCTCAAATTTACAACAACAAACGTACTCCAGAAGATCCGTTCAGAAGCGTGTTTGTGCAGTGAGCTTATACTTCGGGCTGTCGTTTCAGGAACGGAACGACAGGCGCAAGCGCACTAGGCAGGAACGGTTGCACACAATGAGGACAGGAAAGGTGGTTTGCTGGGTGGACCTGCACCGCGGAGCACGACAGGAATAGTGTATCGCGTGGCTGTCCAGCGGAGACATTTCTGCAAAATGTTGTCAATATTTGAACTCGAGGGCTTTCCTGGACAAATTGGCATTTAATTTTTCACTAAATGAGAACTGCACAGTCAGCTTTCGGGCGAGTTGGTGTGAGACTTTTCTGCTTGGGTTGGGTTGGGAGGGTGGGGATTTCATCTGAGGCAGTTATATTCCAAGATACACAACCACTATCCATGCGTCTGTCACGGATGGAACCCAATAGAGTGGCAACAGCAGAGCGATGCATGTTGGTACTGGATGATTGGATTTCAGGATTGAAACTAGTCACATGTATTGCGCAACTGCCAATGACAAATCGCAGGGCTACTTCACTGGGGTGTGACGCCACAGCGTGCATTGGCAATGTAGCTCAGATGTCATATACGAGCAATGCAGGGGGCCCGCGTCTCTACAGCCATGCAGCAGCACTGGGTTGCATGTCACGCAGGCAAGATTGACCACTTCAACGAGGGCATATTCGAAGCGAACTCCTCAAGCAATTTGAACAAATTTACATAATTCTATTTCCATTCGGAAGCAGCTCTTTGCGTTTCGTAGCGCAGTGTGGGCTGACCGCCATCTTATCAAACATGACGTCAGAATTTTGATGCATCTCTTTGTCGATGTGAATTTCCTACCAAAGCTTCCATCCATTTTAACGTTGTTCTGTTTCACCAGAACAACAGATTCTTCTCACGCTGGAACCTATGGATACTTACTAAGCCGAAACTACTGTGAACACGCCACCCGTGGTCTTTTGGTACATCCTTATATCACATTAAACTATCAGCGTGCGTGCGATGCACACATGCTACACGCCCTTGGGACAACTTGTCCCTATCGATGCGCGTCGAAGCATCCAAGACAGCTATGTCTTCCAGACACATTAGCTCCGCACCTCATTGCTCCATTGTGAATCCAATGCAAGTTCCATCTGTCAGAGAATCCGAGCCTCGGATCCTCTAATAGGTCCAAATAACGTTTCTTTCAACAAGCCTTGGATTGGCGGATTCCGACGCATGTCTAGAAGTCTCTGCCTACCCTTCATGGCCAAACGCCTGGTCATTGTATCGAGCACTGAGCACTTTCATTCTCCCACATTGGCACAGCTTGTGCAACACATAATACATTAAAGGGGCACTTGCTGGCAGAACTATTGGACGACAGCAGGGGGCGGCAATCTGATCCTTGTGAGGATCCTGGAAGACGTCGCAAGATGACATCGCCCTAATTATGGGCATCACCTGCATGTAAACCAGTCTACGCCGCCAGATCACCAACCACATGATCATGGGGGTTGAATGTCTATGCATTGTGCAAAGTGCTCAGCAAGTCAGCCTTGAACCTTGGAAATTCGCTGACTGTAGCAAACATGTGTGGATGAACAACATTCCATACACCAAACATAACTGAATGGCAACATATTTCCAAACAACAGATTAGATTAAACGCAACTATCCATATTCATTTGGCAGGCTCGTCCTGTTGTGGCGAAACCAACTTTGGTGACGTTGGCAGCATGGACTCAGTTTAGACCTTATGTGAAAGAGCGGCATGGAAAAACATTTTCAAAGGCTCCTACTCTGCACTCATGTATATTACAGGGAAGTTGCTCAGAGAGCGCTTGGCTAGGGTGGATAACCTTTGAATCTGCTCAATGTCGATCTTTCCTCGCCAACAGGACAAGTCCTTCGGACTAGTTTCAACGTTCTATGTGTTTTTATCAAAAGATATACCTACTGATTGTTGTCCACCATCCCTTGACCTGACTCGACCTCCCTGATAATCCAAGGATGCGATAAATATGTGCAGTGCCTGTTAAGAGCAATGGAAGCTTAAGCAGTGTGAGGAAATATTTCAAATGTTTATGACCATCCGGGCAAAATGAGGGTAAGGATTCACAAAACTGCTCGCCAGAATACAGGGCAGAACGCAAAATGTCCAGCATGGACTACAAGGTGGAGCAACTCCACAGTCTGAGATAGGTTGAAGTCGAAAACGAGCCAAAACAGCACAATTGGCGTCAGGACAAGTAAACATGCCCGAGGAAGCAAAATGTGGAAATTTGGAGTACAAGGCAGGACGCAAAATGACCAACATGTATACAAGTTTGTGAAACTCCACAGTCTGAGATGCACCGAAGTCGAACATGAGCCAAGGCAGCGCAATTGGTGCCAGGAAAAACAAGCACATCGAAGAAAACAAAATGTCAGAATTTGGAGTAGAAGACAAAACGCAGAATGACCGACATAGAATACGAGGATACGAGGTGTTGTGATGCGACCCCAACAGCTAGAAGCCCACAAGGCGCAGTGAGAGAAAAAGTGCAGCAGCATCTTGCGTTGTGACCATCGAAAACAACAAGCGTGCCGACCGACCATTCTCCAGCGTTTGGCGCCCGCCTTGTTTGCTCTCTGCTACAGCGTGTTGGAGTACAACACAGCAAACGCTAAAATTCGATTTAAACAGGAGAACCACCATGGTGCTCGAGTCGAAGGCAAGACCCATGAGATAATTTTTAAAAGGTGAGCCTCGTATTTGACTCGCATACGGAACCCACCCTCGCATTCCAATTCGAAAGCGAGACCCACGCTGTTTTGGAAGGGTGAGTCCGGTATTCGACTCGAATGTGAAACCCACCCTCCCATTCCAGTCGAATGCAAAGTACACGTTCGCTTTAAAAGGTGGGCTGCACATTCGACTCGAATACGAAATCCACCCTCGTGTTCATGAAACCCCTCCTCTTGTTGCAGCCGAAAGCAATTTGCAAAATCGAAATCAAGCCAAACGCAGGACCCAACCTGCCCGGGTAAGCGGGTACAAGAAAAACCTGTACCTGGCCCGGGTACCTGGGTTCCTGTGCCTGGGTACCATCCCTGAACAGTGCCCATCCGCAAATCTTCCATCTGTGCTCATCTTCAATCATCATTCTCGCTTTCATGCCCATTTTCCGAAAATGGTGTGACAACATCCTTTGGGCGCACACCGGAATCAGGTGTTCTCGAAATTTCAGTTCAGTCACACATTTCCAAATGTGACAATCCCCACGCCTGCGCACGAGGCAAAGCGCCCCAGCGAGCACAACTTGAACAGGCAAAGTGGGGACGTTGAGTGTGTGCACTCCTGGCGCATGAGCACTCCTGGCTCTCAGGCGTTTCGTCCCGTACAATTGCTGCATGTCATCCTGACGCGGTCCTAGCACTCTGCGCATTCAGCACGTGCATCTAAATTACGTGCACGTAATTTAGATCCTGCTTGCTTATTTGCATGTTGCTATCATGTGGCACCAGGATCTTTATGCGCTCGTATTCACAAAACCTGGTGCACGAGGCAGTTCGAGTTGCATGGCAATTGCCATGCAATTGCCAGCACAGCACATCCTCGTTGCCACGCGCTATGTCATGCAGTTTGACCGCATCATTGTCAATAATTCGCTCACTGCCGACACACGGCCCAACGGTTCCAACTTGGAAACAAAAACCACTCAACCAGCGACGTCGCTGGATTAATCCAGACTGGAAGAAGCTGCAGTTCCTGTGCGTCCAGCCCTCCAGTCTGAAACGACGTTTCGCGTTTAAAGAAACGTGTCACACGCAAGTCATGTCACAAGTGCCATTGATTCATCAACTTGGGCCATCCCCTTCTATATCCTGAACCCCTGTCAAACTACGCCAACCCATTTCTCTGCTCAAAAGCCGCATGGGATCCGACGACAACCTACAAAAGCACAGCCCTTACATATGAGCACATACGCCAAGCGATCTAGATCCCGAGTGTGCCACAACCCTAAACCTTCGTTCGCATCATCCATTGCAATCCTTCCCGCAATTCGCCACACCCCGCCCTGTACACGCCGACACTGCTTCCAGCAATCTCAAGAAGCGCAGGCGCGGGCACACGCCCAGCTGCGCGTGATGCTGTTTGAGACTGCCATGTCGGCGAGGAACACGGCGCCGACCAGCAACAAAGAATCCCTCCCACGTACAAAACTGAGCTGCTTTCGACAGAATATCTGCCTCTGCAACTGCTTCACCCAGTGTACACTTCGGCACTGCGTTCCTCTTGCCCGCTTCGACCCTTGCAATGCTTATTCACATCTAGTCCACACCTGGCTAGAATCATGAAAATGGCAATGCGCACACAAACAACACAGTCACACCCGAAACTCCCAAACTACCTGTCAACAACTTTGGACACTTGACAACCTCACCTATGTGCTGCACCTCGTCGGCAGCACATTATGTCACTGGCACATCACCCCATAGCAACGGGGGACGGCACCTAAATTGATACCAAACGCAACGACACCATTCTCCGTTGTTGCAGCTACATTGTACACCCACACTAACAGGATGGGCCAGACCTGCCCGTTTCTCGTTGCAACAGAGGGGAAGCCAAGAGCATTCCCTTTCCACTTCCTGAGATTTCAGACCGTAGTTCATTTTTGTTTCGATTTCAACACCCACACTCTGCTTGTCATAACCGTAAAAGACAGGGCAAGACCCACAATCCACTTCCTGGTCAGATCTCCTCCACAGCTGACACGTTTTCGCTTTTCCGCGCCGACGCCTGCTGTTTCCAGGGTCTTCATGGGGCTCTGACTCTCCTACAACAGCATCTCTGGGGATCAGCCCCGCAATGCACATCTGCTGTGCGCAGGTCCCCTCCCAGGGTTCAATCAATTGCGCACTTGGGGAGAGAATGAGGACGACAGGAGCAACGCGGGGGCCTGGTCGGTGCTGCCGTAATGGATTGGTGAGAAGTCCATAGGGCTTGTTATGTCATTGATGCTCGCTCGTCGCCTGTCTCCTTTCTTCCCTTGACTGATTTTGTGGCGCCGCAAGAAAAATTTTTGGGCGTGGCTTGCGACCTGGGTTGGCGACCTGGTGTAGACAAAATTCCTTGAAATGCTGCGCCAGTCACCCCTGCCGCAATGTTCGAGGCCAAGGAGGAACCATCGATGTTCTTCCTTGGTCCATGGCACAGCGTGACGGCAAGGCTTCTTTCTTGGCCCCTGAGTGACAGGTACACAGAAATGTTAGCAGATGTTTCAGCTGCTCACAACAACATCAGGGACTATCCTGTTCTTAATCTGGGGGTGGGTGGGTGGGCGGTTGGAGGGGTACGTCGAGATCCATTACGGTGCACCTCAGCACATCTCAGATGCCAGCAATGCATACAGTGCAAGTGTCCACATATAGCCTTCTCATTGGAGCACACATCGACAATTGTCCAACCAGGATCGGCACAGGATTCCTGTGTTGCCCAAGACAAACTGACTACAGAGAACTTTGAGCAGCTGTACAAACCAGACATTTGACCAGACACTGGAACTCAACATTACACCTGTGATACTGACATCAGTGAGATTCGACGAATAGTTTGGACTGGACTGCACCATTCTGCCAAATACATCCAGTGTTTAATGTCATGATGCAATTCCACTCGAAACAGGGCTGTCACCTGCGCGATTCAAATCAGTTACCGTTTTGAGCTTGACCATAGCTTGCACAACTACAGTGACGCTGCAACATTCTGAAAATGAATGATATGGCCCAAAGGGTTTGCTCGTGGTCGCTGGAGCAGGGGAGATGCCCTGAGCAGCCTTCGCGGGGAGGGGGGGGAGCACAACAGATCCTCTGTTGATAGGAATGAGATTCTAATCCATGTGTGAGGGCAGGCTATTGTGGAAGCGAAATGAGAAGCTGAACGCACAGCTCTGCATCTTCCACCCCAGTTCAATTCTGTCCAAGGCTAGTGATTCCATTCCACAAACACATGGTGCCAATTGGCGGACAAAGACAAAACTGAATACAATCCATCCACCAAAGGACTTTGCCTATACTGTCTTGACCACAAAGTGAGATAAACACAGGGATGCAATCACCACATACCCTCGCTCTCTTCCCAGAGCCCTTCTTCGCAGGGACAGCGCTCCCATTCTCAATCTCGCCAATGTCTTCCTGTTGCCACCACACCAACATTTGTCAAACGCCAAGGTGGACGGCAGCACTTGGTATGCTGTTGTCTGCTTCTGTAGCTGGTGCTAACGTTCCACGGAGAAGGTGGGCTGCACGTGGTAACATGGGGCACTGCGCGCTTGGCACATATAGACAACGCTTTTGTGCCGTGCAACCTGGACCGGATTCTACACAAATTGCTGGACAATGGTCACTTTGCTCACGGCCACACGTTTAACTGCAAACAGTGACGAAACCAGATGCACGCCAAAGCCATGCTCTCCAGCAGGGAGTGCTGCTTTCCAGCCACCCTCCCGCTTCAGTCAGAGGCACCTGTGCAAACACGAGTCGCCAGCTCGCACAGACCCATCGATAACAGACACCGTGGACGGCACAGAAGCCGGTGCTCCGACCATGTGGCAACGTTACCATTGCGAGCCGAGTGATTGCCACCGTGCATGGACCGCGCCATGCACCAAAACCATTGCGACGTCATTCCCTCATCCGATTAGAACGGGTTCGTGACCCTTCCACCGCGCCATGACGTAACCCATGATCCCTGAAGCCGCGCCCCCGTTCAGCGGCGCTGATTGGTCCGGCAGCGCTGCGCCCGCTACGACCTGCGCCGTCCCTCTGGCGGCGCTGCGGGCGGGCTGCTGGCGCCCGCCGCGGATCAATCAATCGGAAGCAAATTAGACGGCTGATCGGCTGACAGGCCGCAGGGCGCCGCATGCCGTAATCCCGCGTGTCCCACTGGGGAGAGGCCCCAGGCGCAGGCTGGCCTGCGAGGGGTCGCTGGGGGACGCTGGTGCCCGCCATCCCCACCTCCAGCTCCCGGATGCGCCGCGTGCACGCCTCCAGGTCCTTGCCCGGCAGCAGGTCCGCTATCTTCCGCACCCTGCACGCCCACAGCGCAGCGTCCGTTCACTCCCCCGCGCCCCGGAGAAACAATCATCAGCCCTCCTGGCCCCCTTGGGTGCCTCCAGGACAGACCCGGGCCCAGCCGCACGGCGCCGCGCCGACCGGGCCACGTGGAGCCCCTCACCGGGCCGATGGACTGCCATCGGGCCGCCGATCGCGCGGCGAGGCCCGATCTGCATGCCGGGCCTGTCGGCGATCAGCCAAGCCCGGCCTCGGCCTGACAAGGAGCGTGATTCGACACCCGGAGCTGACCACCCCTCCCACCCGCCCTCCCGCCCCATGGCGGCCTCACCTGTCGGGATCGCGGAAGAGGCGCGCCAGCACGGTCTCCAGCACCTTGTCCTCGTGAGGCCTGGCACGCGCAGCGGCCAAGGGGGGCGGGTCAGACGGCGTGCGCCCCCAAGGGGCAGGGGAGGCATGACGCTTCCGGAACGCCATGGGCACGTACGTCCAGTCCTGCTTGGCGCCCGCCGCGCCGCCCTTCCTCTCCGCCGCCATGTCCATTCCGAGCGAGAGGGCGGGCAACCAGGGGCGGCCGGGCGGCCCCTCGCCCCGCCAGGCCCCCCACGCCTCGCCGCAACAAGGGCCCAACTGCATGGTGGGAGCACACTGCCCGCCGGCTGTCATACAGGCAGTTTTGGCTGCGCACACGACCCATTCCCGGCCCTGGGGGGGCCATTTATGGCCCCAGGATTGCGGTAATGAGCGCACGCCGCCCACAATGCGACGGGCGGCCGTCAGGGCACGAGTGTGAAAGCATTCCGTCAACTCCCCCGAGGGGCTTACCCATGGAAGAAATCGGGGCCCCCCTTGTCCCAGCGGCGCCGGGCAGCTGTACTGCCGGGCCATAGTGACGCGGCGCCCAAGCCGGCGGGGCGCAACCAGTGGACCAGTGGCCCAACCGCGGCCCTCACCTTCCCATCCCGCCGTTCCCCGTCGCCTGAATTGCATGACGGGAGCCCTCTCCCAGAACACAAACTACTACGCCGAGACATTGGGCGCCTGATTGACGGTACTCGAGGCGGTACAGGGCGCGTACTGACAGTACGCACCGCCGGTTGGGGGGGCAGAGATAAGATTACTCGCCCCCGAGATCGGATGACTGCCCCCCCAAATAGTTTTCTGAATGTTTCTGATTTTGTCCGGGCGTTTGGGTCCTGGACTTGCGAGCCAGAAACCGGGAACAGTGTCATCGGGCGTGGACTTAAGCCCCTCCCGTAAAAGGATGAATCCTGCCATTCAAACGGATGAATGCTGGCCCCGCCCCACCCCCCTACAATGCAGGTCCTGCCGCTGCCCCCGCACGTGTTACCGGCAGTGACTGTGTTAAAGTACATACCCCTTAGTGATCGCCCCGAAGGACCCATAGATCACAGGCTGAACTTAATCTTCGCTCCATTAAAACTCGCGTTGCTTTGAGAGTTCGAGATCACCATATTAAACTGAACAAATAAGCCATTGCTTAAATTGATGATCAATCACAATCAACATCGTCAAGAAATCAATCCTGATTGAACAACATCACGTCACTTCATATGCTCAGTCCACATGAATCACCCTTTTGACCCAACATACACAACCATCACAGATGACTTGAGATGTCCATACAATTCTTGCTACCGTTTTCCCATCTCTTGCCAAATGCAATGCTGCCCTTTGCACCACACCTTGCTCTGAATCTATAAGATCCATCATCCGGCAATTCAATTCTTGATCCCTTTGATCCTCCTTATCCACACTGGATCACTTCAGAATATTCTACAAATTCGCCAGATGAATCTCCACTGTCGCCTGAACAAGTTTGCTCGTGGGCCTCCAGTCCGAATTCGGACTCCTTCTTGGTGCTCCAGTACTTAAGATCTTCTAAGGGGGAGGCCCTATGGGGCCCCCGGGCCCAAGAACGAGGGGGTGCAGGCGGTTGGCACTATTGTCAAATGGACCAGCGGCCCCCCCCTTTTATCCTCCGCCTCTGCCCCATAACACCACTCCCTAACACTATCACAACATCCCTTACACCACAACACCCCATGCCTTATTCCATAGAACTTTCCCTTACACCATTTCCTTCTAAATACACTTCCTATTGAACTACCCTGTTCCAACGCCCTACCACACTGCGAACTCACACATTGCACCTATAACATTCCCCCTTCCCGTCAGAATCCACCACACTCGCCAGAATTCACCATATGCATTTCCTAGTGACAATATCCCATTATGCCATCACCATTTTCCTTTATCCCATGCACAGCACCAGCCACCGGCATACTTTACACTCTATTGCACTTTCCACACAACTCTCACGGTGCCCACAGCATCCCACAGCCCTCACACACGCTGCCAAGGGTGGCAGGACGGTGACACGCTCACCATCACCCATCACACTATTGCCACCACCCTTATGTAATGCACATGGCACACCGCGCCCAACGACCAGTGCCACCAAGTTCACACCTATATTACAGCGTGTGTGAGCCCATGACATGCCGCATTCACCTATGTTGATAAAAATAGATGATTGATCATTATCCTAAATGATTCAAATGAGTTTAATGACTT